ATTAGCAAACTGAGAACTGCTTTTCTGCACACTAATAACCACAGTCGCTAATCTTTTAGTTCATTAACTGCCTGCTTTTAACTGACTGATGCAATTGAAATGTATCGGTCCAGCGCCAAGGGCCTTCTGGCGGTTCCCTTTCTGCAAGAAGCCAAGTTACAGGGAACCAGGCAGAGGGCCTTCTCGGTAGTGGCACCCATCCTGTGGAACACCCTCCCATCAGATGTCAAAGAGATAAACAACTACCTGATGTTTAGAAGACATCTGAAGGCAGCCCTGTTTAGTGAAGTTTTTAATGATTGATGTTTTAATGTATTTTTAAACTCTGTTGAAAGCTGCCCAGAGTGGCTGGGGAAACCCAGCCAGATGGGTGGGGTACAAATAAATAATCATAATCATAATAATTATTATTGTCTGCATACTGCCAAAGCCTCAAAATGAATGCCTTTTTGGAGATAATGATGGAAGACCAAGGTAATGTACAATTTAATAAATAAAACCTACTGTGCATTGTTGGAAGGAAAGCTAATCTTTAACACCCCCATTACCTTAAATACCAGAACCAAATAGTCTTTTTTTAAGCACTTGTTCTTAACGCTCAACCTCTCCAGTTAAAAGCTGACTTCACCAGTTTAAATTAAATCCCACTGAGTAATCAACCTAGGATTTGGTTGATTAATCTGACTGAAGCTTACAGTACTCCTAGAATATAAAAACATATCACCAAGAAGCACTGACACATTGTTAGGTTGTTACTCTTACATCACACCTTTCTTCATGGAACTCAAGGCAGCTCACAAGGGGCTTCCAGGTGGTCTCCCATCCGGACACTGACTGCTTCAAGGCCGCATCCTGCATGTGGACATGTTCGTAAGTGAACACTCTGACACCTGAAGACAGCAGCCAAATTCACCTTAAGAAGCTCCTGACTTTGTTTCAAGGCGCTCGACACACATAGAATCCAGGTGATAAAACTGAAAGATATTTGATCACTTTCATCAACTGTATTTAAGTTTGCCGCTTCTGACTGCCCACTCTGGAGTATAGCTCAAACCACCCATTTCAGGGATCATATTCAATCGAGATCAGTACTTTTTGTTAAGTTTGAATCTGCATGTGTTAAATTCTCTATCATGTTCCCAAATCCTAAGTTTGCTGTGCCACCACAATCTTTTTTTATACAACTTTATTTTAAGAAAACATGAAGTCCTTTACATTTATAGAAACAAAACCAGCAATAAATCCACCCTTCCCAGCCCAGTGACCGCAAACCATATTTCAGAAGTACCTGCTGAGAATCCAAGAGCAGCGTGCTGACAACCACTGCACCATGCAAGCTTTCAAGTCGGCCTGCCCCAAGTTTGGAATGGATACCACAACAACATAGCAAGACTTGGGTTTCCTGGAACAGGATGCAACGTTCTTTTTGCTGTCCTATACCATGAGAGATCCACTCTCCTAGAACAAACAGGCTGGTCTCAACTCCTTCTGCTATGTGGGTGATGTTCTAAAAAGGCAGAAGATCCATGCTCTCATAGCAAGCAAGGTCTGAGGATAAAACAAAGCCTTTCTTGCCTAGTGGGGCTCAGCTTTTGCTTCTTACTGAGAAAGGGTTTTGCACATGGTAGGTTTAATCCTTGGCTTCTCTACAATAGATGTCAGGTGGCCCGACTGGGAAAGACCTGAGACCCCAGAAGGATGTTACCAATCACTACAGACAATACTCCAGACTTGCTGGCTCAATGGTTTCAATACAACAATTTCATATTTATATGGCTGAGTATGTGTATGCATTTATGTGCATGTGTTATTGGGATGTGCTGCCTCGAGCATCGTATCAAAGTATACAGCAAATAAAAAAAGGAAAAGAAAAGAAAAGTTTGGAATCACTGCTAGCCAGACTAGCTGAATGACATCTGGCAATGTGTTCCCTCTTCTTTAAAAATGGGAATCAGAACAGCTAAAGCACAAGTGGGCAATCTAAAGTGCCTAACCATCTCTTGATGCTTTCAAAACACAAGGGGCTGAGTCAATGTTAAGTACCATCATTAGTAAGTACTATCATTATCTTAGCATACTCCAAGCAGCCTCCCCACTTTACTCAAATCCCTCCTTGAGAATACCCTCCCTTCCCAACCATTCTTCCAAGCTGTCTGTGGCAGGTTTGAGACTTTGCTGTCAAGCTGTGCATCATGTATATCAGGGACGTCCAACTCCCAACAGACTGCGATCCGCTCACAGAATAAAAAACTGGCAGTGATCTACCCCTTTTTGGGGGGGAGGGGGGTTTCAGGTCAAAGTTGTTGAGCTTTTTTTTAGGGAGGAAAGCCCCGCTTGGGGGGGGGGGTTCAGTTATAAGAGTAGTTCAGCTTTTTTAGGGAAGAATGTCACATTATGGAGAGGGAAATTTCAGAACTGAGGAAAGGGGGAAGTCGCTCACCAACCGATCGCTAAGGTAACAATCTGCCTCACAGCAAAAACTCTGTCTTCCTTTTCAGCGATCTTGCAGAAATGGAGGATGGGGCGAGGGGGCAGGGCCGGATGCTATTATGCCACCGCAAAGTAAAAGGAGCCAGTGATCAACTGCGATCAACCAGAACCTCTCAGGAATCAACCAGTCAACCAGACGTTGGGCATCCCTGATGAATATGAAACGTGGCTTGTGCTGTTGTGCGGCTGTTAGTCTGGGGACAAGACACCAGATGCTGTTTCCCATTACAATCATGTGAATTCAAAGCTACTCCACTAAAGGCTCAAGAAACCATTCAGCAGTGACTCCTGGTCAAAAAGCAAAGAATGGAATCTGGCTGGGTAGGTTTTGAGGAAGCTTGTAGATAAAGAGATATAAAGTTTTATTTGCATGGCCAATGTACCATATTTTTTGTTATGGATGAAAATTTATCATTTCTGAACAATACATAAATAAAATGACACATTCTTAATGTGATAATCACCTTTTCAAAGCAGAAACATCTATCAGATCACCCATAATCATGCAAAACCAGACAACTCTTTCCACTTTTATCAGCAGCCCAAACAAAACTGACTATCTTTCTGTTGTTCCCACTGCCCCCCAAAGACTCTTATCTTCTGTCATGCTGTTTCCTCACCAAATATTCCCAATTGGGTTTGTGTTTTTTAATGGGCCGATAATGTAAATATATATTGGAAGGTATAATAAGCCTGAGAAGATCTGCTGCCAGAGAAGAAATGAGGCCTGCCTCTTGAAGGACAGCTAAAGAGAACTGAAGAGCAGGACAAGGGAAAAGGAGCCGAAAAACAGGACTTGGGGAGAGAAGAGGAAAGGGTGGTAATTAAAAGAACACAAAAAATAGTAACTAAGCCAGAAAAGGCAATGGGGAGGAAAAACTTTATAAACATGGGAGGCAGGAAAGGGTGTGATTGAGACTGGTACAGAGCTAGCCGAAGCACTTGGGCTGGGTTCAGGAATGCCTGTCATTCCATAATCGGTGCCCACACGTCCGTCGCAGGCCTGTCCACCCACCAGGAAGGGGAAATTAAAACCATCCTTTCCGACTACAGCAAAAAGCAACAGAAAATAAGATGACAGTTCAAACCAGTGGGAACAAGGGATTAAGACCAAGAGTCCCCAGATGAGGGAGGGTGCACAAATGGGGGTGGAGGGAAGGAAGGCCATGTGGCTAGCTTTGTGTATGAAATCCTCATTAGAGTCCAGTAAGGACATGAAAGCGGATTTTGTTGTTTCCGGTCCCCAGTTCCCCCCAGGGAGCCGAAAGGCTGGGTTATCTGCTTTCACTGTCAGAGAAAGATTCACAGACCAGGACTGTGTGATTAATGGATGAGATTTATGGGTTACAGAGGGGGTTAGGCACTGCTACTAGTAATGTAGGTTACTGGAACCTTCTAGCCTGGAAAAGCAGGGGTTGGATAAAGCTGGTCACTCAAGTGGCAAGCCTCCAGACGGGACAATTTTTGCCACACACCACTGGTTTCCAGCTGTATAGGAAACTCGCTCTTGAGGAGATATAACTTAGCTTATGCAACATGCTGATTCAAACCACTGAGGGGCAGGGGGAGCTTGCTTTTCACAGAAAAAGCAGCAGAAAGCAGTGTGAAGAGAGGCAACACCACCAGTTCTTTCTAATGAACCTCAGACTCTGCATACAACCTCCACATCCATTTATTCTTGCTTCTGAGGATTCCTGGCTTGGGTCTGTCACAACACCCTCACCTGGTTTGGAAGCATCTCCTCTGTACTTGTTGCTGGTATTCACAAAGGTCAAATTAACAGCAGCAGAGCTTCCCATTTTAAGCATTCCATTTTTGTCTGCTACCTCAGGCCTGGGACCGCCAATCCAGCCTTGGACCTAGTATAAATCCTGCCCACACAAGCCAGTGCAACTCTGAATCTCCAGGGGAGAACTGCCAACTCTGTTAAGCAGTTAGTTAATTTGGACCCTTCCCCTCTGTCTTTGTGCCAGGAGAGTCAATATATCACACCACCCCCTGCTGTGGGAGGGAGTTCTCCAGGATCCTCACGTTCTCTGCAGTGTCTGAGGTGCTCTGCAGCCTGGAAGCAGCTCCTTTTGGTGCCTCTGGGGACCACCACTCCAACCAGCTGGCAAAGCACACTAGGAAACCATGTAAGTTGCCTTGAGCATGTCTTGGTGTGACAGCTAAGGGCCAAGCTCTGAATTAGTTTTAAGCCCTGACGGTCTACGGAGTCTGCCTAGTCCATTCACAGGCATCAGGATCTACAATGTTGCTGTGTTTTTTGTCTCCAAGGGTCTTTTCTTATATGGACCTTTCTACTGAGATTGTAATCAGGATAACGAAAAGCTTTGCAGGAAGCAAGAGTCTTGAGAAGCACAAGACTTGGTAGGAACTTAAACCTTGGAGCTGGAAGAAAACAGTTGTTTATTTAGTACTAGTGGCGTTCAGGTGGCTTAATGAGACTCAGCACAGTGAGATCAGAACCAAGTCTTCTTGGTTTGAAAGACATCAGTTCTCTTCAGGCACTTTTGTGTGAAAGACAGCTCAGTGGGTAGAGCATGAGACTCTTAATCTCAGGGTTGTGGGTTCGAGCCCCACGTTGGCAAAAGATTCCTGCATTGCAGGGGGTTGGACTAGATGACCCTTGTGGCCCCTTCCAGCGCTATCATTCTGTGATTCTAAAAGGGAGTTTGTTCAACATGCAAGGGGGGGGAGGCAGAGCTCTAAAGTGCAGAGGGGAGCAAAGAGGGCTCCTCATTTCATATATTCACCTTTATGGAGAGTAACACAAAGAGATGAACTCCTGCACTCACCCGCATGGCTCCCACTCATGTATTGAGGGAGCTCACTTTTACATCACCTGAAGGAGGCTACTGTGTGAATGAGGTGCAGAATGCAAACATCCGAACTTCTTGCATTGTTCAAAGCACAAAATGTGTTATCCACCATAGCTAGTGCACTGTACACTTGACCAATCCCATCCTGGGGCAAGGGAGGAGCTGGGAGGATGCTGTATGAGCCAGAAGAGAGCTGACTTTTGACTGAATTGGATCTGGGGTGAATTTTCCAGCCTTCCACTCTGCTCAACCCACACAGGGAAGAACACAACATTCTCACTTAAAATTTTAAATGAACTGAAATTAACCCTCAGTAATTCCACACCAAGGGACTGTATTATCTAGGAAAAACAAAGAAAATACAACTTCTGATCCTAGTAACCTCGGGAAGATGTGCCTGCCCCCTTGAGTCAGTTGCTGCTTTTGAAGAGAAGAGATTAGTCTCATCAGAGGCGCCAAACACCTCCTGGAGCTTCGTACGGCTGCACTAGAGAATAAGGTGTTTTATGCTGCACATGACTCTGATTGTAATATATTGCCGCTAACGATAATTGCGTGGATTGAATTTATCCATGTCTTTAGCTAATAAATTGTAAGGACCACCACTGAAGGGAGTAATGAAATGCAGCTGTTAGAATCAAAGCCCATTTCTAGGTCAAGGCAAGTCTGGGAGAGGCTAGGGAGGATGATCTCCTTTGGGAAAGCAATACCTAACAGGAAACAAGTGAAAGAATCCCAAGGCAGTTTTCATTCATCTAGAAACATTATCAGAGCATTCCAAAATCAGAAAGAGGGGAGAGCACAAGCCAGAATGCCGATGGTGCCTCTCATTAATGCTCAGATGGGTCCTGGGGCTCTTTAAAAAATGTTGTAGCATCACATATGCATTGACTCTCATTGGCTCCTCCTTGGCTTCGCATTTCACATACAGGAAGCAGAGGAAGAGAAATGATCCAGATGAACCCTAAAGTGGAATGTGAAGGGGGGTGGCTTTAAAATGCAGGTTGTAACTGCACTCAACTTGCCAAACTATAAAAGGGCAAAAGTGAGGGGATCGGAAATGAGTTTGGCTTCCAGAACTGTTTCAGAGATGGGAGTTTCTGGAGCCCACGGGCTGAAGTGTTAGTCTGAGACCAAATTGTGTTTGCATCTAGTTCTCAGATAAGTTAAGAACTCACTTTGGATTAACAGCCTTAATTACCAATGAGAATAAAATGAGGAAAAACATGCAACCTACCTTGCCTAGTTTTTGTGAAATTGCATGGCATGAGGATGCTCTTCTAAGGCAGGAGCTACATGTTACACAAGCCAATTTGTATTCCCAAATCTGTCTTTGCCAAGTAATATTTACTGGTTTGGTTTTGTCAAGTACCGTATTTTTCACTCGATAACACGCACCCGACCATAACACGCATGTAGTTTTTAGAGGAGGAAAACAAGAAAAAAAATATTCTAAACGAAACAGTGGATGTATGATTTTTGTGGTTCATGCTGTGGCCACAGACATGTGATCTGACGGTGAGTTTGGGGTAGCCCAATGCAAAAATCCTGAGGATCCATGTGGATCCATGTTTGTAACCACGTTTTTGCATCACTGCAGCCCCAGGCAACAGTGGGTGCGTGATTTTGTTTGGTGCAAACTTAGCCATGGACATGCTATGTGATCTGATGGTGAATTTGGGGTGGCCCAGTGCAAAAATCCTGAGGATCCATGTGGATCTGTGCTTTGTAACCACGTTTTAAGTGGGGAGGGAAGGAAAAGCACTCAAGGGACAAGGAGCACGCGTGGAGCAGGCTCTACTTCTCTCCCTCCTCCCCCCCCCTTTGCGAGCTGAAAAACTTTGCTGGAGGGACAGAGAGCCTGCTTGCTTTAAAGGAGCCTACTGGACAGGAGCCGCTTATACGAGTGTAAGCGGCTCCTGTCCGGTAGGCTCCTTTAAAGCAAGCAGGCTCTGCTTCTCCCTCCCCCCTTAGCGAGCTGAAAATCTTTCCTGCTATTTCTAGCAAAGCGGGAGAAGAGCCGCTGAGTGGGGACGAGAGAGATACAGAGAGCCTGCTTGTTTTAAGAGCCAACCGTACAGGAGCTGCTTACACTCGTGTAAGCGGCTCCCCTCCCCTCCCGCTTTGCTCCTTTAAAGAAGCAGGCACTCTGTCCCTCTCTCCTCCCCATTCAGCCGCTCTTCTCCCGCTGGAAACCACGGAGGAGGGAAGCATTCGCTCCGTAACACGCACAGACATTTCCCCTTACTTTCTAGGAGGAAAAAAACGCGTGTTATGGAGCGAAAACTACGGTAAGTTTGCTCATGTGGTGGTGGGTATTTGCAGGAGACATTTGGTTGTCAAAGTGTTTATGCACTTAACCCCTTCCCCACCCACTACTTCCGCCCTGCAACCCCTTTCCAGGATCTCTCTCTTTTCCACCTTAGCTGCACTAGTGCAGATTTTACTATGTGTACATAAAGCAATGGTGGGGGAGGGGGAGATCTGTGTGCTGAACTGGATTTAAATAGAATAAAGTTGGGAAACAAAGTAATGTATTTCCTGAATATGCAGCATGTTGTAATACAATTTTCACAATGGGCATTTATTTATTTTTTCTTAACCAGTGACTGTACAGACAGGAAAGTCAAATTTCCTAATCAATTCAAAAGATCCCAAGAAGTCATAGAACTTTCCCCTTTGCTATATTGTGGCCCCTCACGGCCTCCCAGCCTGCCTTTCTGATCAGCTGGAAGTCATATACAAATGCTTCTTTGATCAGAGGTCAGCACCAGCCTTGCACATCCTACAAGCAGGAACCTTTCTTGTCCAGACCTGCTTTCAGTCAAGCACTCCCATCTTCCCTTACCTTCTTTAGCCATTCTCTCCCATCGTTAGCCTACATGTCATAGTAATCCCCTCATTCATAAAGTACAATGTGAAGGATTCAAATTCTACCCTTGAGATAGGACTACAGTATAGTATGTTGTGTACTCTTCACAAGCCTGTTCAGTTTTTATACCTTCCAGTGTGAACTCAATATCCATATCCAAGCTGACTGAGAATTACAATACTTTTTTGGGTGGGTGGGAAGAGGAAGAGATGGAATAATAGGAAAAGACAGACAAGTGAGGGCAGTAAGAGCAGAAGAGGAACATGGCTGGAGACCATGAAAAATAGACAGGGTGGAAATCTGCTGCAGTAGGTAAGAATTTTGCAATCATTTCTCATTCTTCATAGTTTAAACCAGGGTAGTCCAACATGGGGCCCATGGCCGGCCCTCGAGGCTGTTTTTGGTGGCTCTGCAGCTCCATACCCTCTACCTCACCCAGGGCAGCACAGCCAGGCTGATGGAGATGGCAGTGAGTGTGTGTGCTGCAGCCAAAGGCAGGCTGCTGTGGCTGTTCCTCCTCCTCTGCTGCTGGAGCTCTGTGTGGCCACCAGGCTGCATTTTTGGAGCCGCTTGGAGCATGGCCAGATCCCCAAGCAGCCAGGGCTCCAGAGCCTCCCAGGGAGTAGGCGGTACAGAGAAGAAGGGTGGGTGTTTGTCTGTGTGTGTTTTAGCATGAAAGACTTTGCTTTCTTTTTTGCAGTGCATAGAAGTTTGAGCTTTGGGATGTACCAATTGGTGGGGGAAGAGAAAGGAATTTTGGGAAGAAGAAGAAGAGGAAGAAGACACACACACACACACACACACACACACACACACACACACAATGTACAAGTGTTTTCAAACATGAACTTCATGAAGTCCAAAACTCAAAACAACTTAACATACAATTCAGTCAAGAGTTGCCTGCACATGTGAACAGCCAACTTCAAGGTAGACATCAATCAGCTCGTGAAGAATTCTCCAGCTAAGACACCCCATTGATGTCTGCATTGTTAACAAATACTAATTTTTAACTATAATTGTGTGTTTAATATATATATATTTAATTAAATACATGAAACGTGTATATTAAATAATATTAACTATATTGCGAACACTTAAATTTACAATATGAAAATTTAATTCAGTGTGTGCCGCCCTCCCAGGTTCTGTGCCAAAGGACTTTTGTGGCCTACTTGGTCTGAGAGGTTGGAACTCCTTGGTGTAAGCAGAATAGGAGGAAAGAGATTCTCTTGATACTAGCACAGGGCAACCATATTAACAGCATAAGACTCTTGTGCTTGAGACTAGAGACAACAAAAATGTCAGGTGTAACTAAGGTTGTTATTCAGTAATTTACCTCACTCACTACCTTATTAAAGTCATTTTATTCTCTCTTGCACTATTTCCTTGTAATCAACTAGAGAATCTAAAGACTTCTGAAGTCATTTGGTTGCAGTAACTGAAATTCTTCCTAAATTCATTTAAGGAGTCTCTAATGCTTGCTTATAGCCCTAGTAAGTGCTAATAAGACTTAAACATTTGAAAGATTCTTACAGACTTGCAAGGATAAAAGTACGCCTGCAGGGTTAGATGTATTGCTGGGTGGGGATGAGCTTTGAAACCTTTACATTTTATCAGCCTTGATAGGGGAGGTGCTACCTCCAACATAAAGATGACAGAACCCACACTGTTCATAGAATCTAAAGTTCATGCAGTTCATATATGTATAGGATTTAGATACAACTCCTTCACCAAAAGACAAGATCATCTATCCACTAAGTTAACAACCAGAACAATCCCGAACAGAGTGGGCTGTTTGCACATTAACACCAAGCCATACTTTGGTGGTATATGCTTGAGCTAAAATTAGCCCAATGAAACCTCAGGATGGCATGCTCCCCTCTCCTTCTCCCACTCAG